AAAATCATTCTGAATTATTTCATATCTTTCAAACTTTTTCAATGAAATTCAAACTCAGTTCGGTGTTTCTATTAGAGTTTTGCGCAGTGATAATGGTCGTGAATATCTTTCTCATTCTTTTAAACAATTCATGGTTTCTCATGGTATTTTGCATCAAACTTCTTGTGCTTATACACCTCAACAAAATGGTGTAGCTGAACGTAAAAATAGACATCTTATTGAAACAACTCGCACTCTTTTAATTCATGGAGAGGTTCTTCAGCATTTTTGGGGTGATGCTCTTCTTACTGCATGTTATCTTGTTAATCGCATGTCATCTTCGGTTCTAGATAATAAAATACCTCATTCCATTTTATTCCCTCATGGACCACTTCATCTCTTACCTCTAAAAGTTTTCGGGTTTACATGTTTTGTTCATAATTTTAGTTCTAGTCTTGACAAGTTTTCTCCTAGATCACATAAATGTGTTTTCTTAGGGTTTACAAGATCACAAAAATGATACAAATGTTTTTCTCCTTCTCTTAACCGTTATTTTGTGTCTGCAGATGTCATCTTTGATGAGTTCTCTTTTTATTTTAAAAGTCAATATTCACCTCTGTCTCCATCCAATCTTGTCAACTCTCCTAATACATTTAATGTTCCTGTTGTTTGTGACCCTCTAACTGTGTCTTCTTCACCATTAGATTCTACTCCGCAGTCAGCTTCTTCTTCACTGCCTCTTCAGGTTTATAGTTGTCGAAACCAATCACAACCACCACCACCACCATGTGACTCTACTCAAGTGTCAACTACTCTATCTCCTCCGGATGTGACACCTGAGTCTAACCTTCCCATTGCCCTCCGAAAAGGTATCCGTTCTACACGTAATCCCTCTCCTCATTATATTGGTTTGAGTTATCATCGACTGTCATTACCTTTTTATACATGTCTTTCCTCTCTTTCTTCTGTGACCATTCCAAAAACTGTCCGTGAAGCTTTAGCCCATCCTGGTTGGCGTCAGGCCATGTTAGATGAACTAAGTGCTCTTCATAATAGTGGAACTTGGGAATTGGTCTTGTTACCGTCTGGGAAATCTGTTGTTGGTTGCAGGTGGGTGTTTGCTATCAAAGTTAGACCTGATGGTACTATTGATCGCCTCAAAGCTCGTATTGTGGCCAAAGGTTATACTCAAATTTTTGGGTTGGATTATGGAGATACCTTTTCTCCTGTGGCAAAGATGACTTCTGTTCGTTTATTTATCTAACATATATTCAACAGATAGATATAAGGTTAGGTTTGTTGCCAAAGGCTATACGCAACTTGAATGCCTTGAATTTTTTGAAACATTTTCTCATGTTGCAAAGCTCACCACCTTTCGTCTACTTAGTACTTTGGTTGTCTCTAATGATTGGATATTGAAATAACTTGATGTCAACAATATTTTCCTCCATGATGATCTTCATGATGAAGTATACATACAAATCCCCCCCTAGTCTTTTTGTCAATGATTCCACGCATGCCTGCAAATTGTAAAGGTCTCTTTATGACTTGAAGCAAGTGAGAAGATAATAGTATGCCAAACTCTCTAACTTTCTTCTATCAAATTTCTATAACTGGAGCTAAAGCCAAGGAAATTGACCAAATCAGTACCCTTCTTCACTAATACTTCAGCATTAAGAACTTGGGTGACCTCACTTGTTTCCTCAGTCTTAAAGTTGCTTGAAATCACATAGGAGTTCATCTCAGCCAAAGAAAGTACACCTTGACCTTTTGCAAGAGACTGACATGCTTGATTTTCCTCATACTCCCACTCTTATGGCTCAATCTTCTCTCACACAAAGTTAGAATGGTCAACCTCTCATTGATGTTGATACCACCACTTATAGAAGGCTTACTGATAGACTTATTTACCTCATCAATACTCGCCTAAACATCACTTTTTCTACTTATCTACACCAACAAGTTGCCAACCAGATTCTTAGGTATCTAAAAGGGACTTATTGAAGTGGTGTTTTCTCTTACAGTGATAACTCACACCAGCTAAAAGCCTATAGCGACTCGGATTGGGCAACTTGTCCTGAAACCATAAAATCATCACAGGTTTTTCATTTACCTCGACAATTCCATTATTTCTTGTAAGTCCAAAAAGCAACAAGTTGTGTCCCGAAGCTCTTCTAAAGCATAATACAAGTCTCTCGCCTCCACAACTTGTGACATACAATGACTCACATAATAGTAGATCTTCTTGGAAAATGATCACTTCATATATTTGTTTATATATTTACAATTTTATCCTCTCACCATTTATCCTTTTATATTTATTTATTATTTATTAATAATATATTATTTGCCCCCCCAAAATTAATGTTTATATATTTACAAATTTGTCCTCTCATCTTTTCATCTTCTTTTATTCTTTTATATTTATTTATTATTTATTAATAATATATTATTTAGTCCCCTTAAAATCAAATGTCAACATCTGCCACTGGACTCACATATCTCTTAGAAGACTTTAAGGTTTTGTTTCTTAGTCCTGCTCTTTTCTATTGTGACAACAAATTTGTTATCTAATCAAGTCTTCCACAAGTACACCAAGCACATTGAAATTGATTGTCACATTATCTAGGAAAAGATAAATGTTAATCTTCTTAAGCTTCTTCCCATTTGCTTCCACCAACCAAGCTTGTGAATATTTTTACCAAGTCATTACCTCCTTTAACTTTTTAACATCTTTATTCCAAGTTGGGAATGTGAAACATCTATTCTCAGTTTAAAAGAGACTAATAAAATTGTTCATGTTGTGCAAAACTGATATTTTTTTTCTTCACCCTGCTCAAGTGTTTTGTTTTTGCTTTTTCTTATTTTCCCTTTTTCTCTTATTTGAATACTTTTCTCTTTGTTTTTTTTAGATACACACAAAAATAATAGTTTTCTCTTTCTATTTTGTCTTCTTTAATTTTCTCTCCTTGCTCTTGTTTGTGTCTTAGACAGTTTTTCAATTGCTAATCTTCTTTCTTTTCTTCTCACATGTTCTTATTCTCTTTCAATTCTTCATAATTCCAGCGGTAATGATAATAATAAATAAGTTATTATTTTAAATTATAAAAAATAATAATAAAATGAAAAATAAGTTTCTATTTCTTTCTCTTATCTTTTAATATAATGAATTTTATATATGTATAAAACAATCATATTTTTAATTTTTTTTTACCAAGTTCAGTTGAAATTTTAAAGATTTTAGAAATGTAAAATTTTTATAAAAATCAAAATAAAAAAGATAAAATTAAATCAATCCATATATTCAATAATCAAGTCTTTTTATCATAATTTTTTAAATATGTTGATATAAGTTTGAATTAATCGTTTTAATTATTCAATTAAATTAATTAAAATAAAATATCATTCAATCAAATAAACATTTAATAATCAAAACAACATTTAATATCAGAAACACAAATTACAAAGCAAAATTTATACGAGAGAAGAGAAAAATAAATTTTGAGAAATGATTAATTGTTACAAAACTCAATTTATCTTGTTTAATTTTGATTTAACTAATTGATCTCAAAATTTATTTTTTATTGACGAAGAAAAAAATAATTCAAAATATAAGAAAGGAGAAAAGGAAAAGTAAAAAACATAAATAAAGATCTATTCATTAACAAAGAAAGAAAGTATGTGAAAAGAAAAAAGAAAAAAAATTAAAAAATAGTCTGATTCATTTAAGATGAAAGGGACCTCAAAAGGAAGGCAAGTGTTCTTTTAAAAAAATAATAAATAATTAAATATATAATTATTCTTTTGGTTTTTTTATTAATGAAATAATTTTTTAAAGTAATACCCTTAAATTATTTATTTCATTTTTTTATAATTATAAAAATTTTGTATCATAATTTTTTTTATTATTTAAAATTAAATTAATAAAATAATATCATATTACAATCAAATAAACAATATATAAATTTATTCATTTAAATTTTATAATATATTTTATTAAAATAATAATTAAATATATATATATATATATATATATATAAATATTATAAATATAAAAATAATAATCATTTATTTTAGTGAAGATAATTTTATAAAATAACATTTTTATTGTACTTTCTACTATTTTCCGTTCATATATAAAAGGAAGTAAACATATGCCATGCCTTACTATGCTTCAATCAAAATGGTGCAGAGATTCCAGTGGGTAGTTGAAAGAGACGTGCCTATGCGCACTATTCTGACACGTGGAAGTGCTTACGGTCAAACCACCTATGCCAAGAAGACCACCAACCTGTTTGAGATTCATTCAATATATATTCTCTGTTTACTTCAAAGCGCTTTCTCTGTGGTGTCACTGCTTGTGTTCTTCTTCATTGAGAAGAGGAAGGCAAAATTTTCTTCCCTACAGAACAAGTGAGTGTGTCACTCGCAATGGTAATAAAACTAAAACCACTTATGACACATTATATCCTTGGGATGAATTCAAGATCATTCAAGTCTACAATTACTTATCAGTGATTAAGTGGTAACAGTGAAAAAGCTGATTCACCTGAGATTAATTTAATTGAAAGTTGAAACAGAATGTAGTCAAATATGCAGTTTAAAAGAATAAGTAAAAAATACTGTAATAATCTGTAACAGCAGTCTCTCATGGAGAGGATTTTAGTGAATATTTGTCAAGCTGTACAGGAAAGGTTTTCATTTCAATGAATTTATGTCAAGCAAATGAAGCAAGTTGTGTAACAGTTTTACCATATCAATAACAATACCCACTCAAAGCATGTATAAGTAATGCTGCTGCATGTTGCATCGTTGCCTCTCTCAAAAGGAAGGAACATAATAAGTAAAAATTGGTTGATTCATGAACTTGCAAATAACCAGTACCAACTCCATTAAGTTATTCCAACTTTAAATATAAACTTCCATGTAGGTAGGACTAGAACAAGATCATGGGTACTCTATCAATTATTAATAAAAGATAATAGGCATTTTTATAACAAGAACACATCCTGTCATACAAATTAACTTCGGGAGCTAAAATGCATGTTTGTGCTTTCCATTCTGTCAGTCCCGACAAGTGATATTCTGTCATCGAAGACATCAATGTATCCAAATGCATTCGTACCAGGAGGACATTCCAAAGCTGCTTCAAAAACTCTATGGTGTATCCCGTGAGAATCAATGGAGTATCCACCTTTATGATCATGCCCTGCAAGACAGGCCTTAACACAACTGTATCTGTGTATCAAATTCATTACTTCATCATAATTCCACAACAGTGTCGCAAAACTTGCCGCACCAGGATCTAGAGGCAAATGGCAACAGACAATCACCTTCTGTTTCAATTTTGTTGCCTCCAGGAGAACACCATCTAACCATTCCAGCTGTTCCTTTCCAACGGCTCCATTAAACATGACAGACCTTCTTTCAGGCCCCACCAAATTATCTGGACTGTTCTTATCTTCATTTGGGTTTTTCTCCCTTAGGATGTTCATAGCCTCCAATGTTTTTGGATGATCTTGTGGCCAACCAATGGCACTGATGTCATAGCCATCCAGAACTACGAACCTGTATTCAGGCACTGGTGAGAAATCATAGTATGCACGATCAGCAAGAGTTTGGATCTTCAATAATGGGAGTAACTTGCTGCGTGGAAGATTGTATAGGCAGTGATTGCCAATCATATGATACACAGGTCCCCCCCTGAACATCTCAAATTCGTCCACAACCTTCTGTACAGTACCAAGAGATTGATCTTTGGGACAAAACCCATCAACAATATCTCCAAAATTTATCACAAACATATGCTTCTGATGAGTGTTCCATTCTTTAACTGCTCTCTGCAACACAAGAATACTGTGCCTATAATACCGTGGAACACCAAGGAATGAGCGACCATCAGGAATATCAGCATATTGGACATCAGAAATCAACCCAAAAGAAAAAAGTGGTTGGGTATTAGCTGATCCATTAGAAGAAACCATGGCGTATCTCTCTACGAGTCCCTACCGCACCTTCAATATTTATGAAGTCAACAAAGCAGTATCTTCCAAAAGCAATCTAATCTAAAATTACACAAACAGGAACCAATCATGTCATTCTGATCTTCACCAACAATTTAATCAGAAGGTAATTAATACATATCACAATAAAAACAAGCAAAATCGAGTTGCTTACTTAGCCTGTGTTCAAATTATCTGCTGCTAACATATTCTTATCAAAAGTAGCTTCATCCCCCTCTCACTTGTATAACTGTTCATGTGATTAAGTTCATCAGTTCAAGATTAGAAAAGCAGTTTCGATTCCTCATCTTGTGAAGTAGTATATAAAACTTATATTTATTATGAAGTAAATCTTTCGAGAAAGAATTTTCTGTTTACGGCTTAAGAACAGAATCACTTCAATCACATGAAAAACAAAGGCAGTTGGTGAAATTCAGTAACGAGAAAAACAAAAAAAACTAAAAAAACAAAGTGGTGAATCAGGAAATAACATCAGTCCTGTTCCAAGTCTTTAATGAATGAAGGCCAAAGCAGCAGTTATTTTTAATTGGAATCTCTCCTCTTTTTCTTTTCAATTTGAAAAATTACTTTGCGTGGTTTCAAAGTTGAGGGTAACAGACAGGGAAGTCTACTTACTTAGCATTTTGGGAAGATAGTCACATATTAATAGCTAAATAATATAATGAAGAAAAATTAATTTGTTTTCCAATTCAAAGAAGCAGGGTTCATCATTCCATGGTTCATGAGATTCTGTCTTCTCTATTTTACTGTAACTATCTTGTTCCGAGAATAGTTTATATCTAAATATGATATATAGTATCATAAAAGTGTGATTTCAACCATTTTTCCTTTGATAACAATGTTGGATATTTTTGAGGAGACAATTAAAAAATATTCATGAAACATAAAAATTATATAAGAAAATATGAAAAAAAAAAAACATTGAGACATTAGTTTTGTAGTTCTTTTTTCACTCTTAAGTTCTCAACTTTTTCATTCTTATCTAATTTGAGATTGCAACTCAAACATACCAACATATTCTATTTCTCGATTCTTCCCTATCATATTTTTTTTCTTGTCATAATTCCAACAAAACTGCCATGTGTTTTAAAATTACAGGAAAATTTACCATGCAAATCTGTAGTAGCCACAACACAGTAAGATGAAATGACCACAGCACAGTACCTTGAAAAACGTTTCTCCTGAAAAATGTTTATTAAAACAGACTCTACCTACAGTAAAATGATATTTGGTAACAAGGGATTGGTGAATTATGGGAGAGAGGACAAGAAATGTAGAATGTTTAAAAAATGAGTCATTTCATGGTGAATTATAGTTAGTGTAAACATGAATAAATCCACAACACAAAATTGCACAAACAGCAAAGGCAACTTGAAATTATCAATGATGTATAAAGAAAAAAACACCCTGTAGAATATACCCATCCCGAGTCACAACTGCATGTGAATTATTTGCAGCATTGTAACTCTGGAAACATGTTGAAAAAGTTACTAGATCTTAATCAAATTTGTCCTAGGACAAAAACACCAGCTTATGTTCAAACTTAAACTTAATTGCATGTGAATTATCTGCAGCATTGTAACTCTGGAAACATGTTGAAAAAATTACTAGATCTTAAACAAAATCTTTCCTAGGACAAAAACACCAGCTGATGTGCTAACTTGAACTTAATTGCAGAGTGAACTTAATGACACATATGAACTAAAAACATCACTGATTGACTTAATTAGAACCACACTTTATTTGGCATCAGATAAAAAACTCCATTTTTCAAAGGGTCTGAATTGGTTAGAACCCTGATAAGTGAGTTTCGAGAACACTAATAAAGAAAAAAATCGTCAGGGTTCAGAGCAGCAGAAAGAGAATCCGACCACAAAACATAGAGAACAGAGGGACATACCAGAGTTAAGTAATTTGAAACGCGAAATAATGTGTTGAAAACAGAGCCACAGCACAATGGAACAATGAATGGAATAGAATTGGCGTCAAGGTTAAGAACAACAAGGTACTTACTCTCCCTCCATTATTGACCTGTTAACATTTTAAAACATATAAACTTCAGAGGCCCAATACTTTAATAGGGACTGTTATCTTTAAGACGGGTTTACTTATCTTATTCTAGATAATCTCATATTTTCACTCATTTGTAACAAATAACTACTCTTAAATATTTTTCAATATATTGTAATGCTCAACTTTATAATAGAATATTTTTTAAATATAATATAATAAATTATAATATTTTTAGATAATTTTAATATTTTTATTTTTTTAAAAAGGTTAAAACTCATTTTATCAAATTTTAATTAAAAGATAAGATGGAGTAACAAGAAAAACAGAGAGAAAGAAAAATAAGGGGATAGAAAAAAAAGAATAATAAGTAAATAAAGAGATGAAAAAATAAACGAAGAATAAAAGAAAAATAATTATTTGTTATGTAAATTTATTTTTTTGTACACAAATAATAAATAAGTCTAGGGGAGTAAATAAATTTTTATATATTTTATTTAAGTATTTTTTTAATATATTATTTACGAGTAAAATGTGTCTTTTTTTAAATAAAAATAACAAATTAAGTCTTTTATTTGATTTTGATTTAAACAAATAAATGTAATATTTTAACATCATAGTAAATTTTTTTTTTTAAATGTATAAAGAAAAAGAAACTTTTTTATTTATTTATTTTAATTTAAGAATTTTAATACGTATTTATAGAATTTTTTTAATAATACTGTTATGTATAGTTGAGTAATTAAGATTAATTTTAGTGAAGTATTAATAATTTAATTTTTATACTATATTTACAGAGAGTATTAATGGTATGTCTTAGTAAAAATATAGTATGGAAAGTTGTTAAGTGGGAGTAAAAATGAAAATAATATAGAAATAGGAAAAGAAGTCGAAGAGAGAATAATTTAAAGTAAAATAATTTTTATACAATTTGAATCTAAAGGAAAATAAAAAATTTGTAAAATAATAAAACATTTACTTATTTATTTTGGAGTATGAAAGAAAACATAATTATAATAAATGACATATTTTTATTACAATGTAATAACATTTTTTATAGAAATAACTAACAAAGTATTATTTTAAATTGCAAAATTTTAAATTATAAAACGTGTTTTGAAGTAAATAAAACTACAGCTAGTTATTTTTATTTAAAGAAAATTATAGCTAATTACATACAATCTTTTAGCACATTTTGAATAAATTTAAATTATAAGACATTATTGTTTTGGGCTAGCATTTGAAGCTCAAATTTTTCTAATATATATCAACAAAACAATTCAATCACAGAATAAATCTAATCATATGCTTGTAAAACACTGTAGAGAGACTAAAAATTATATCAAATAAATTCGGATACTCGTGGGATAAAGAAAGCGTGATAAATAAAGGGATAAAACACAAATGAAGGACCACAGAAAGGGTTTTCAACGAACATATGTTAACAACGAGCAAAGCTACATAACAGTTCTATAAAATCAATCACAACCCAGATGTAAAACATGTTTAAGTAATGCTGCATGTAGCATCCTTGCCTCTCTCAAAAGGAAGGAACCTGTTGAGCCTGGTTGATTGCTGCCAATTGCCAGTACCTTCAAATTGAAACTTCTTTTGGGTAGACTAGAACAAGATCATAAGGTACTCTATCAATGATTAATGAAAGATAATATGTATTGTTGCAATAATAGTAATGTTATATCCTCCTAGGAATCTTCCTACTTCTTTTTAGGTAAAAGATGTTATAGGAGGATTTAGAGTTATTATTTTTCTAAAGATATCAAAACATCACGTCATACAAATTAATTTGAGGGATTAAAATGCATGTCTGTACTTTTCATCCTGTCAGTTCCCACAAGTGATATCCTGTCGTCATAAACATCAATGTTTCCAAATGCATCCGTACCAGGAGGACATTCCAAAGCTGCTTCAAGAATTCTATGGTGTATCCCATGAGAATCAATGGAGTACCCTCCTCTATGATAATGTCCAGCAAGACATACCTTAACACAATTGTATCTATGTATCAAATTCATTACTTCATCATAATTCCACAGAAGTCCCTTCTCACTTGCAGCACTAGGATCTAAAGGCAGATGGCAACAAACAACCACCTTCTGCTTCAATTTTGTTGCCTCCAGGAGAATACCATCCAACCATTCCATCTGCCCATTTCCAATGGCTCCATTAAACATTAGAAACCTTCTTTCAAGCCCCTCCATACTTGTTGGACTATTTTTATTTTCATTTGGGTTCTTCTCCCTTAGGATTTTCAAGGCCTCCAATGTTTTTGGATGATGCTGGGGCCAACCAATGGCACTGATGTCATAGCCATCCAGAACTACAAATCTGTATTCAGGCACTGGTGAGAAATCATAGTATGCACGGCCATCAAGCGTTTGGATCTTCAATAATGGAAGTAACTTGCTTCGAGGGAGATTGTATAGGCAGTGATTGCCAATCATATGATACACAGGTCCCCCCTGGAACTTCTCAAATTCGTCCACAACTCTCTGTACAGCACCAAGAGATTGATCTTTGGGACAAAACCCATCAACAATATCTCCAAAATTAATCACAAACTTATGTTTCTGATGAGTGTTCCATTCTTTAACTGCTCTCTGCAGCACAAGAATACTGTGCCTATAATATCGTGGAACACCAAGGAATGAGCGACCATCAGGAATATCAGCATATTGGACATCAGAAATCAATCCAAAAGAGAAAAGTGGCTGTGTAGTAGTAGCAACTCCGTTGGAAGAAAGTACCATGTCTCTCTCTACCTCACCCTGTCATACATTCAACATTTATAGTCATCAAAGTAGTACATTCCAAGGGCAATCTTATCTGAAGTCACACAAACAGGAACCAGTTATCTCATCTCAGCCTCAGATATTATTCAGAGAATTAGAAGCAAGAAAATACACAGTACAAACAATAAACAAGCGAATTGTTGGTTGCTAACTTGGTCTGTTTTAAATTATTTGACTCCTGACATTTCTTAGTAGAAGTAGTTTCATCCATCAAGACAAGAAAGACTCTAATGAATGAAGGCCAAAGCGACAGGTATATGAGAAGAACAAGCTCTCTTTTATTTTCAATTTGCATGGATGCAAAGTGTAAACCTACCATTTATACACTAATAACAGATTAGAGTAATTCAGTTAACTTAAATTATATTACTTTTATTCTCTAACTGAAATTCCAAATTTCTGTACATCTAAAGATCACAGCCACACAATTTAAAATGGGTTATTGACTTAGACTTAAAAATTTGAATTTGAAATCATGTATTTGAATTCCCACTTTCTGTTAGCTGCAACAATGTCATCAGAGCATATATTTTATTTCCTGTTATCCCTAAATGTAGGAGGTGATTTAACCGATTCAGTATAAAAGGAATAAAATCACTCTTCCAAATCTCTATATGGTATCAGATTAAGCTTCAAGCTTAACAGCATTGCTTGCAATGTCTCAAGAAAAAACGCCTTGTAGAATCTACCATCACCAATCACATTCATAGTTTTATATCTTTTGCAACTTTGTAAGTCTTGGGAACTTATTTTGAAGAAAACAAATATATGTAAAATACTGTATTAGAATATAGATTTCGACCTAAGTTTATCCCCCACTTGTATAGTTCATGTCAGACTTCTAACATATTCTCTTATACAGAAGATTAGATTGGATATCTTGAACGTGTAATTAAATATTTGAATATATATAATTCCAACACACAATTCTCCTAAGTGAAAGAAAAACCAGCTGCTGATGAGCAAACTTGAATTTGGGGGTAAAAAGCTAGAGATGCCTACATTCAGTATATTTCCTCAGGGATTTAGGTTTGCCATAATGTTAGATTCATTTTTGTGCTTTGGGTTAAACTTTAGTAGAAGTATTCAAGTATGTGAGAATTTGAACTCCTGAAATGTGAGCCTCAGATGAATGTAAGCAGATGACAATTTATTGAGCATAGCATAAGAAATGGAGATATCCAAAAGTTCCAAATTGGACAAGAAAAGGAGACACCTGTGAGTGTTGTAAGAGAAGTCAATTTCGCAAAGAAATAAAGAAGAAACACTTACAGGTTCAGTGGTTTGATTGTTGAGGACTGAGAAGATGCAAAACGCAAAACACCACCAATAAAGTTGAGTGAGTAGTTCAGACTTAGTTGTCGGAAACCCGGGACTGCCAATAGGCCACTATTACAACAGATATAATAAATATGCAAGTCAGCCATAGCAATTTATTGAATTACATCATATCATATTTAATCAATTTCTAATTAATTTTATTTTAATAAAATTTTTCTTAATCAATTTTAAAAAATCCATTCTTTCTCTCTATTTATTTACTTTTTATTTTTCATTTAATTAATAAAACAACCAACAAATTACCCCTATACTTAAACACTACATTAAGGAAACACTTTTATGACAATCAAAATTATTCCTCCCTTTTATCTATTCAATAAATTCACATTCTCCTTCTCAACATGCCTAGCTACTTCCACGCACACAACTCTAGAATTATTCTCTTTCCACGTCAAATAAAGAGAATATATATATATAATTTGAATTTGAATTATTTATCAGGGATTATTAAATATGAAATTATTATCAATATAATCATAAAAATATTAGATTTTTTTTCCTATTTAGGAAAAGAGCATGACCGATCTAATGGGTGATGAAGGTAAAAAAAAAAAGTAATTTTTTTATATACAGTAATTAATTTTTAAAGATTAAATAAAATTTATTTTTAAATATAAATAAAATTTAAATTTATTTTTTTCTTCTAATTTTTTATTTAAATAAAATTATATTTACTTTTTTATATATATTTTATTTATATATTTTTCATCTTTTCAATTTCTTCTTTTTTTATATTATAGATTCACTTTTTTTCCTTTCACATATTTTAATTTTTTTTTCTTTAATTAAAATGAGATGTTTAACGAAAAAATTATATATCAATTTATGTTGATATTAAATATATAGGAATTAATGATTTATAATCTTTTGTGATTTTATATAATAGGAAAAAGTACCAAACTAAGGTAACATCAATAAAATTAAATTTTTTAAATTATAACACAGTTTTGTTCTCATTTTTTACATTTATTTTTAAGTAATATTTTTTATTTTAATTAATATAAATTAATATTTATGCTTTGAAATTATTTTTTATTAAATAATTTGGAAAAGTTATAAATATTTTTACAATAATTAAAATGGTCAAATGAACATATGCTATAATTGTTTTATATTCATAATTTTAATTTATCTCATGTTTATAAATAAATTATACAATTTTATAATTAAAAGTTATAATACAATTTTTTATCATATTTTAGTAAATTTAAATATATTATAAAATATTTTTCAGAATATATTTATTTATATTTATAATTGTATAATTAACTTTAAATATATAATATTGGATTTAAATATAATAAAAATAGTTTGATTTTGTTTCATTTTAGATTTATACAATCTAAAATCGGAATCAACCTAGTTTAAAAAAAATATTATATAAATTAATTTTTAATTATATTTTTAGATTGATACAATTTTAAATCCTTTTAACAATTATAATATTTATAACTTACTATTATTAAATATTAAAAAATATTATTCATGCCAAACATGGATCCACATGCAAGACTATGGGACAACAACCGCCTTCCATAAAATTTTAATATTTTTTATCTAGTATAATATAATTATGAGTTGTCTCGTACTTTTCAACAAAATGTTACCCCTGTAAAAAAGTTATGTGTGATTAAATGTTGCACTACTTATTTGTATATCTCAATTAGTAATTTTTAATATTTTTGTTAACAACATTGGGTCAAAGATAAATTTGTAACAATTATGTAAATTATGGAGAAATTTATTCTCATAAACTAAATTATTACCTCCTTTCATTTTCTTTTATCATTTGTTGTTTTTTTGAAATTTATTTTAAATTAGTTACTTTATTTGTTTCAATAAAAATAATATATTTATTAAAAGTGTATATTTATTATTATTAGTTTTTAGTAAAAAAATTAATTTGCAGTTAATGAGAGTAACTAATTGTTCTCAACCCATTAACTGTTTGAATTCGACATTAACCCTTATATTTATTAAAAATAAATGTTACAGTTACCATAAAAAATAAATTCAAATAATGTAACTTCTGGAATGTTTCCCTTGAATTAATGGCTACAATTGTCATAAATTAATCTATTGCTTTAAAAGCCCACTAACTTCTATAGTTATTAAAAACAGTTAAATGTGGAGGCTACGTTTTTTATAGAGTAAAAGTAACTTTAGAGGAAATTCAGTTTCAATGAAACAAGACAGGGAACCAAATTGAGAAATTCTATTTATTTTTCAATTAGTCCCTCTTAATAGAGTGCAAAGTTAATATGTAAATACAAAATAAATATTACAATACTTAATAAAAAATTAGAAATATTTGATATAGTATGAATATGCATTAAAAAATCATCACAGTACGTATTTCTTGACAACTTGATAAAAAATTTCCATTCTTAGAGAAGGATGAACATTTGTTAATCTTTTTATTTGTATGCTTAATCACTGAAAAGTTAAACTAAATTATTAGGCCTCTATCATCTGTTTTGACAACTAAATGTTCATCATTAAGACTTTAGGCCAGTTTAATTTGGTGTCACTGTTTAAGATAAATATGGGTTTACGAGTAAGAGGAAAATTATAAAGAAAATACGTAAAAAAAATTTAAAAAAATTGGTATAATTTTATGTATTATAATAAATTATTTAATGTCATGTAAATATGAAGGAAAACAATTTTTTGTAAGGAATAAAAAAAATAATAGATTTTTTATTGAAAAACAATAACTACCAGTGATAGGATGATGAATAAAAGAAGGAGTGGCACAGTGGGATGAGGCGCGAACCAAAGCTGGACTCCTACAAGAAACCAAGAGAGACAGTGGTTCGCACTTTTTGCACAGACGAATCAATAAGGCCACCCCAACACGGCAGTTTCACCTGCCTATTCGTCACATGTAACAAAACGACAATCACTTTCGTCGTTCATCGATTTGCGAATTCCGGTGCGTTCCGCCATGGCGCTGCGAAACGGCGGCAGAAAGATCACCTTCGAGGTTCTCAGCGTTGATGACGAATCGGATCCAAGCGAACGCAGCCGCAGGAGGCGTAGGCACCGCGCCTCCAAGCGCAAGAAGAAGCTTCTTGATCGCGTCGATTCCCTCGATCCGCATTCGATTCCACTGGAAAACGGAGGAGCCTGCAACGGATTTGAGCTCGACGCTAATAGGTACTGCTCTGGCGGAGGGAGCGTCGTATTCGAGGAGGTGCGTGAGGCGAGTGTGTGCGCGGCTGAGGAGGCGAGTGTGTGCGCGGCTGCGGAGGCGAGTGTGTGCGCGGCTGCGGAGGCGAGTGTGTGCGCGGCTGCGGAGGCGAGTGTGTGCACGGCTGCGGAGGCGAGTGTGTGCGTGGCCGCGGAGGCGAGTATGTGCGCGGCAGCGGAGGTGCGTGAGGCGGAGTGCGAGGTTCCGACGGCGGTGCGCGGTGGCATCGAGGGGTTTAATTTTGGGAAATTGAGGCAGAGGAACGTGAGTTGTGGGAGTTGCGAGGATTTCGCGGCTTCGGTGGTCCGCGATGAGAAGGAGGACGGCGGTCTGAAGGCGAGTCCGGTAGAGAAACCGACGAACGAGCCTGATAGGAATGTCGCTACGAAATTGGAGACTGTGGAGTCGTTGGACTGGAAGCGTCTCATGGCGGAAGATCCGAATTGTGAGTGGTACAATGGTCCTATCTCTGCATGCATCACATTTCATCCCATACCTATAATTCCAATTATTTTTCGAACAATTGACCATATAAAAAATGCTATAAATGTGTTAAAACAAAATTATGCATCGGCTTCGAAGAGGGAAATGGCTGGGAAATTGACGTGGGGTTGGTTCTCTGTCCCCACTTGTAATTGAATTGGTGGCATAGCTAATCTGATACTACAAACATTGACCGAATAATGCATACATCAAGGTTTTAAATTATGGTTTTGTTGTAATCTCTGAATTGTAGAAAATTAGGTACAAATGCGACGACAATTCCAGTTACAGACACTACAAATTTAACAGTAGAAAATTGCAGACAAATGTAATCACAATTGCAATTCTGGAGATCCTAATACATGAACGTTATAGCTGAAATTTCAGTGTGGACAGCTTTTTAAACCTTCCATGATAGTGATAAAAGATTGGTAGTTTAGTCCAGAATAAAAGTTTCACCTGTTTTCTTATTATGACCCAGCTTTATGAATGAGAGCTAGGTAAATGGTCTTTTAGATTTTTTTTTACCTGAAGGAATGGATGCCTTATTTTCTTACCCTGTTATTTATTTTACCTGTGCGCTGTATTCTTCTTTTCTGCCAAATTAACCTTCTGGTGGTTTGTTTTGATGTCAGACGTGTTTACAGTGGAGAAGTCTCCTGTAACATACTTTTTGGACGAAATGTACAATGGGAATTCTTTACGGAGCACAACAACTCTAGGGAATGAAAAAGAACGAGAGAGAGTTTATGATACTATCTTCCGTCTGCCCTGGAGATGTGAATTGGTATACTTCCTTTTCTTGATTAAAAAGAAGAAAGAAATAAAAAGAAACTCTGGTTATAGTTTTGTGATCTTATCTATGGATATTTACTCCAGAAAGCTGCTTGTATTTACTTTCAAAATAACCAGAATAAGTTCAGAGGTTTTGGGGAAAGAAAAGTAAAGCTAAGCCTTCCACCTAATGTATATTAGCCAACCTACAGTTGTATTTTTGTATTAAGGCATTTTACATTCGTTTTGTATCTTAAACGTGGAATGCAATTGCAGCTTATAGATGTTGGCTTCTTTGTCTGCTTCGATTCATTTCTTTCATTATTAACTGTTATGCCAGCAAGGATCATGATGACCATTTGGAGGCTTCTAAAAGCAAGGTTTGCCACATTTCCTTAATTTCTCCCCATGTAATAAAATGTTAGTTGTGCATGCATGTGAGGAATAAGGTATTGATTAGTCCTACAACACCTGTTTCCTTAATTTAGATTTGTGATGTAAGGATGAATCTTATGTTTTTTTTTTATTCATTCATATGGTCCTAACAAGAGAATCCTTATCAATAATAAAAATTAAATAATAAAGCAGTAAAATCACATTATACAAATAAAAAAAATGAAGGAAATAATAGAATATTCAAGAGGCCTTAAAAGATCAAGAAAAAGACGAGTGTGCGGACTTGAGAATTTGGCATTATAACAAAAAAGAATAGCCTTTGGATTTCTATTTTTTCTTATCGTAAGAGAAAATTAGACAAAGCAATGCTTATCTAATGAACAATCTTAGAGTGCTTCAGATATTTTCATAAATCTTTGTATGACAGAACAAAGTGATTTTACGTGAACCACTCCATTAAAAATTAGCAGTAGGTTCAGTTAGAAATTCTATATGATTCTAAGTTAGCTAAATAAGTTAAACCAATCTCTATCAAATACAGCATCTACATGTTCTTGTGCTTTGATTTAGTATTCTCGTTTTTTGTTCAACTATGTTCTTTTTTAAAATTTGTGCGAGTTTGTCATGGTTTGTAGCATTACAAAATGGCCTAATCATGATCATGACAGGCAGTTCAAGAGGTTGTCTACAATGGAAATTTCAGATTTTGGATGCTTTGTTATTATGACCTGTGGAGTGGTTCTTTTGCAGCGAACAGGTAAAGTGGTTATCTGATTCCATGAGTATATGTTATATAATTTCTTTTTTGTATTGTTCAAGTTGAATATTATGCTAATTTTGTTTTATTTATCCTTTCAAATGTGCTGCAACAGATATCAGCTTAATATATCATATGATCCGTGGTCAAGGAACGATAAAACTATATGTGGTCTACAATGTTTTAGAGGTCAGCATAAATTTATTAGTGTGGATTACGGTGAATAATTAGCTCTCCACACTGCCAAATATCAAACAAAGTGAATATTTATAAGTTATTGAATTTAATTTTGATTCATTGTTAGGATATATTTTTTAGACTATGAATTAATTAAAAACCAACCTAGATCTGAAGTAATTATTATAAAAGTCAATAATCTTACTGTATATAAAAATCCATGATTAGATGAAAGTGTAAAAATATTAGTGCATTCTAATGAAGTTGTATTTATATTATATAAGGTTTATGCAAGCAGGATCTTGTGGTGACAAAGTAAAGCAATTTCACGGAATATGGAATGATAAAATTTTGCTTTGGAATTAATTTGTTAACCATGAAACTCTGACATCAGATGAGATAAAATATTGCTGCATGTGAAAATTATTAGTATCTTCTTAAATAGAAGAGTTGTATTGGCCAAGACGAGATAATGAAATGTGATGAAAGAAGTAGGATGGATGTTGTTGTGTAAATGATTTTGTCATAGTTGTTTGAAACGTACATATGTTAAACATAATGCTATAGCTCTTACTTTTAGTTGCTACTTGATTGCTCAAGTGTGGTGAATCATAATGCTCAAAATGTTACTTATACTGTAAGTTTGTAACTGATCTTCCAACTTCTTGCAGATATTTGATAAACTATGTCAAAGTTTTAATGGGGATGTGTTGCAAACATTATTTCTTTCCGCCGAAGGACTTGCGAATTGCCCCCCAGAAAACATTAGATTCTGGATTTGGAGATTTGTTTCTGACCAAGCTTTAGCTGTGGCTGCTTCAAATATCCTTCATCTTTGTTTTTTCCCCCCAGTATTTTGGTTAACTTTTTTTTCTGTGAAGGCAAATTAAGAAATAACACGGTCTGTGCTTTGATTCCTTGACTAGTCTTACTTGTTCATTCTTTTATCTTATTAGCTCAGGCAATCACTTTATCAACCTGTATAGTTGCTCACAACAACGCCCTGTTTGCATTGCTGGTGTCAAATAATTTTGCTGAGATAAAAAGCAATGTGTTTAAGCGGTACAGCATGGATAATGTTCACAGTTTAGTTTATTTTGGTAAGTTATCTTTCCTACAATGGGTTTCCTTTTTTTTTTTTTTCTTCTGGATTCCAGCTTACTTGTTATACTGTTCTGTACTTCTTTATTCAAACATGGAAACAGCCCTATTTGGTCTTGTTTCAGATTATTATTTGAACTCGTTTTGTCAGTAGTTGATTTATTTAGGGTGATCTGTATCAACCACGTAAAATGGTTTTGATGTTTGAATTTTAAAGTGTAAGTGCTTTTTATTTTGACCGCTTGTATTTCAATCTAGAATATATGGTTCTCGTGTATGGCTTTTTTTGCCTTCTTTGGCACCTTATCCTTGTGCCACATAAATATGTAAAGGAAAAGCTTTTGCTTTAATAGTTTAATTCAATTGATATGATATGGATATTTTATTTTTCAGAACAAGAATACAATGCCTTTGAATAAAATTGAAAATTGAATGCATGCGGAATATGGAATTGTTAGTTAGTTTCTAGCGGCTAGAGAATTATGGATATGCCTTTTAAGTCGTTTGCACAATCAAGAATTAGTTGTGATTCCCCTTCACCAAACATGGTATGTGCATAAACTTGTTTGTAGGTCTTATGAGTTCTTTTTAGTTGAATTTAGACAAAGCACTAGGTACACTATCACCCTATTGAAATCTTTAACTATCATACTTGAATGTGGGAAAAAATGTATGGTATTATTTTAAAATGTGATATAAGATAAAATAATTTTTAAATTATAGAAATTTAACTATAATATCAAAATTCAAAACTTTTAAGACATCCTATTGGTTACTTAATGTATATTCTGTAGTTATAAAAAAATCTTGTCTCTGAAACTTATACACATCAACGTCCTCAATTTTTTTCATGCTCTTGTTTTTCTTTTGCAATTTTCTGCAATAGTGATGACTATAATTTTTTTTTCTTTCTGGGGATTTGCTCTACTTTATGGATTAAAAGTAATATTATTTGTATGTAGCTTTTGCTGTTTATTTTACTTTTTGGTGGGAGGGGAGAGGAGAGGGATTTTGATAAAAACCTGTGTTTGGAGAGAAGGGAAGTGGAAATGAAAGGAAAAAAGCATCTCCACCATTTTTTTTTCCCTACGTTAGGAGGATTTTATACTCCCCCCCCCCCCAGTTAGTAATAATTTTGTAAAGATTATGATAGTGTAAATTTCTGTACAATGCATGTATATCTAATCTTAGCTCCTGATAATTTTCACCCGATTTCTTTTTATTAAAATGAGCCAGAGTTAGGATATTTATTCTGCTTGTGACTATTACATTATATAATTTGTTTTCCTCATATTTTCCTGTAACATCTAAGTGTATTTTATTTCCTCCCTTTACTTATTTGGTGACAAGCAGATTCCGTAGAGAGATTCCACATTTCATCATTTATCTTATTCGTTTTGGCTCAAAATATTTTGGAGGCAGAGGGTCCATGGTTTGAAAGTTTTCTCACTGTAAGATTTGGAAATATTTTAGCTCTCAATATTAATGAAGGAATTTTGGTTAATCCTATTCCTGACACATATTTTGGATGGTGCAGAATATCCTCTTGGTTTATGTATGTGAAATGATTATTGATATTATCAAGCATTCATTCATTGCTAAATTCAATGACATTAAACCCATCGCATACTCCGAGTTTCTTGAAGATCTATGTAAACAGGTATTATCATCTGATTTCATGTTTATGGATATTATTTATACACTATCTTGGTTGTTAACTAATGATAAGGTGTAAACAACTGGAACCATTTTGATAAGGTGTAAATAATATACGCCTGACATTTGACTGTTCCATTTTGTAGACTCTAAATATGCAAACTGAGGGCGCAAAGAAAAACCTGACTTTTGTCCCCCTTGCTCCAGCATGCGTGGTAAGCATATAAGATTTAAATGTCCATTTGATTTTTCTGTGTTTTAGTTTGCCGATTCAACATGTGTGCACTTTTTCCTTTTATAACTGGTTCTTAGGTCATTCGAGTTCTCACTCCAGTATATTCTGCAAACCTTCCAAACAATCCCCTTCCATGGAGGCTTTTCTGGATTCTGCTTTTTTCAGCAATGACTTATGTTATGCTCACAAGTCTCAAGGTCCTCATTGGCATGGGCTTAAAGAAGCATGCCACTTGGTATGTTAATCGCTGCAGAAGGAGGAAACATCATTTTCATGAAGATTAGTATGCAAGGGCAAAATACCGCTGTCATGAGTTAACATACAGGATCTGTTTGCCCAAGGATTCCTCCACTCAGCCCCCACTCGGCCCCCACTCGGCCCGAAGAACAATTTATGAAAGATAACATCAGGAACACTTGATTCCGATTTATCATTGGTGCCTGACACAAACGGGAACAACTTTGGTTTATAACTGGAAGGTTTACTCTTGGTTTATAACTTGAAGGTGAACCGATAGATGATTTCCCTGTCCAATTTTGACAGCAAGATATATATAGTTTGTCTCTATTACAGAATAATAATAGAATGTTATAGGCTGCATAGTTGCAATGAAATGTATTCAACTCTACTCAAATTTGGCCAATTTAATAAAACAATAGTAATTGTTTTTTACCTCTTAAGACTTTTCATTCATAGGCACATATCATTCAACGGAAACAATCACTCGCAAACACATACAACAAATCATAAAAAAAGAAAACTACATCACACTTTTTTTCAGCAACATATCACATGCAATGCAAACAATTAAACATAATTGGGCCATCCTTGTTTAGGAACCGGAATTTGGTATTGGTTGGACATGCAGAGGTTCTTTCTTATTGGTAGTGAGGCCAAATTTCTCACTCATGTCAAGGTCTTTATCAGACTCACCACTTTTATATAGCTTCCAATCGAAGTAAAATAAAAGATTAGCAAGCACAAATTCCACTGAAGCAAGCCCAAATGCCATACCAGGGCATTTTCTCTTCCCAGAACCGAATGGGATGAACTGAAAGTCTTGACCATTGAAATCAACCTCACTGTTTTCAAATCTCTCTGGTAAAAAATCTTGAGGCTTTTCCCAAAATTCAGGGTCCCTCTGAATTGCCCATGCGTTCACAAACAGCATGGTTTTGTGAGGAATATCATATCCTCCTAGCTTGACATTGGATGTTGTTTCTCTAGGGATCAAAAGTGGAGCAGGTGGGTGTAACCTGAGAGTCTCTTTCACTACACATTTTAAGTACTCCATTTATCTCTCACAACTCTCCTTACCTCCTCCTGCACTTTCTTCATTTTGTCTGCATTTCTTACAAGCTCTGACATAGCCCATTCTACTGTTGTTGATGTTGTGTCACTTCCTCCAACAAACATGTCCTCAAATTGTAGAAACAATAAATAGATCATATTTATGGCAATTCATAAGATTATGCTGCTTATTTAGTTTAGAAAAATGTTTTTCACACTAAGCTATATAATGAAGAAATAAATATTTACTTTTCTTTCATCTATTTTCACTGTATTTTATTTTAATTTTTTATTTCCTTTAATTTTTACATTAATATATAGACAATCCAATATATTTATATCAATTAATAACTTTTTCTATCAATATAATAATAATAATTATAATTAAAATATTTATATTTATACTCCTTTTCTTTTTTATTCTTTCTTGAAGCAGTGTCTATTGTTTATTTATATAAACTGATTTGTTAATTTTTTTTTGTTATTTTATTCCAATCTACACTTTTTTTTATATTATATTCTTGCAATTCTGAGCAAGAATCATAAGATTTTAAGTTCAAAATAATATTATATTATTGATATTCTTGAACATTGATTTAATTTGTGAGGCATTTGAACTAAATAAAATCCAATATTTTATAATTTTATTTCAGTTGATTCTTAATTTTTAGAACCCAACTTGATTTTTATCTAAAAAAATTATCAATTTTAATCAATTTTTAATTATCTTTTTTTCAATTTGATTTTACTAATATAAAATTCTCTTAATCTATTAACTAGAAAACTGAAAAAAAAAAGTTTAGATATGCTATTAACACATTTTTGTAATTTTCCATGACCCACATAATATAGATATGATATGAATAATACAAGAGAAAAGAGAGAGAAGAATAAAACTTTTTTAATTAGTTTATGATATACCAAAATAATTAAATTCCATGAATGCTCCTCACAAACACATGCATAGAGAAGAGATAGAAAGAAATACCATGAGAACGGCTTTTAGATCATCTGTTGTGAGCTCGAACTCTAGCTTATCACTGTCTTGAAGATGAAGGAGAGTGTCAAGGAAGTCTTTCTTCTCATGATCCACCCTTGCCATCTTACGCTCTGCAATTAGATGATCGAAGAAAGCATTCAATGCTCCAAAAGTGACCTTATACTTTTTAGTTTGGCCACTCAGAAACCCAACCCAACCCAACAATGGAAACATGTCTCCCAAACTGAAATCTGAAATTTCACTCATCGCTTCCCTCGCAAGTTCACCAAATCTGCAATTTCCATCTTCAGCCTCGTATTTCCTTCCGAACATGCACCTACACACTATGTTGTTTACGGTCATAACTAGCATCTCGGTGAGGTTCACAGAAGAACCATTCCTCGTGCTCGCTTTACGTATGTTACTCACCAGTGTCTCCACTTCCTCTTCTCTTATGAACTGAACCGATTTTACCCTTTTCATGCTCAGCAATTCAACCACGCAGAGTTTCTTTTTCTGTCTCCATGCATCACCGTAGGATGCATACCCTACGTCCTTGCACCCGTAGAGTATGATTCTAGAGGATGTGAGATGTGGCCTACTCGCAAAAACCTCGTCATGGGTTTGCAGAACTTCTCTAGCTAAACTTACCGAGTTTACCACCAAAACGGGAAGCTGACCCAGCTTCAACAACAATAGAGGACCGTATTTTTGTGATAGGGTTTGGAAAGAGCGATGGGGAAGTGTTCCTAACTGATGGTAGTTTCCGATTATAGGTATTTTTGGAGGAGATGGAGGTAGATTGTGTTTGGTTCTTCTTGTGAGCTTCAACACCAGCAGAATGCTGATGAAGAAGGAAAACAGCGTGAAAAGGGTAGCATTTAGGTCGTGTGGCAATTCCTTCATGCATGATGGTAGATGAGCCATTTTTCCTTTCATTTGCTCATGTTAATGCAGCATCATAGCACTATATATATACCTACACTCTGTACATGATCATTCTTTACTGATATTAATTAAGAATAACAATTTATACGTGAATCTTATTGATTCTATAATAATCTATAATTATAACTTGTAAAATGTGTTTTTATAAGAGATGATTCTTATGTGTTTCGGTGTATCGGCAATGTCATGTTTTTTATGCAGTTCCTTCCTTTTGTCTACTGCGTGCAGAGATAAAGCTATACTGCGTTTGGCAGTACTTCAAAAGAGATAGATAAGGAATGAAGTTTGTGATTATCACATCCAAGAACAATCGTGATATTTATACTCAGACCCAAAGGAAATAAAGTTCCAATATTTTTAGATTTTTGTTTTTATCTCTCAATATTTTTATCCCATAACCATCTGTATATTTTGCATTATAAACCCTAAACGTTATAGAACACATAAACAATATTCTGTCAATTTCTTTCGGTGGTCTTGTGAATTAAAGAGGGATGTAGAATGTATACACTTCAAATAAGAAAGAGTTCATCAACTTTGTCTTCTATTCGGTCCAATTAGTGGCTCAGCGTGCAGAATACAGAGGCAGAGAGATAGTGTTTAGTTTCGAGAGGGGTCTGGAGTTTACACCGGTGCGAGGGTGAAGATACCCATACAAGATACAAGATAATAGATCGGTGGACTTTTTACTTATATTTTATTCAAATTCAAATGATAGACGGGTCATATGTTTAGATTCTCCCTTTTTTTTTTCCAGGCACAAATCAAAATCTCTCAAACAAGTTACGTGCATATTCATTTTAACACATTTGAGTAAAACTTTGTGTAAAGTATTTATTATGTACGATTATAAGATTGATAAAATTAAGATGAACAGCTAATTTAAATAATTACGTGAATGTTATATATGATAATATATTTTATTATAATTTTAAGTATCGTTTAAATTTTCCATTAAAGTTGCCATATGATGTTATAACTTTAAAAGTAATCAGAGTTCTGACGATATACATCACTTATCACTACAAATCAAAATCTGCCTGTGGAAATTTGTTGGAAAATGCTATTTATCAACGGCTAAAATCTGTCACTAATATAATTATCTGTAAATATTATAATAAATTTCAGACATACGTCGATAATTATCAACAAATATAGCAGCCGGAAATGTTAGTTGAAACTTACCGACAGACCCTTCCATCGGTAATGTGAGTATTACAAACTAATAACTATTTATATATCAATCCAACAAAATCCAATATTATATATTCGGTCTTATCAAAACAGTGGTATAAAAAAATACAGAAATCTAAAAATTCAATTGAATGACAATTTAATTTAATCCAATTAAATAGTAATATATGATATTATAGTATAAGTATAACACATAGAAAAGTGTGTTAAACTATGACTTAAATATATACATATACGTCTACAATTGAAAAATCATTTCCTACAAATTTGGACATGACAACACTTATGAAAACAATTACAAAAGTATGGCCTTAGTGTCTAGACCTCCAAACATGTAGTTTAAGAACTATTCTTGCTTATTGTATTAAAAAAAAAATATTTTTGATTATCTATGCCAGATTATTTTTTACTATGTTTTAAAATAAAAAATAAAAATATATGTAAAACTGGTTGACAACTCATGGAGCTATTCTTTGTAACATCACTTCTCGTCGTAGCTAGTGACAGAGGTAGAGGACTAACAGCAACCATAGTCCCAAATAAAATAATTTCTGTAAAATTTAATTACAAAATAAATTATTCTCTCCCTTAAAAATGTTAGTTAATGACAGAAAAAATTAAAAAAAAATTGAGAAAATGATGTATATTATCTTGTATATGTGCAAAAGTGTATTTGTCTTATATAGGCTAATTTTTATAAAGTATATGAATTATCTACACTAACTCAACAACCCTTTAATTCATATTCTATTTTGAAACAACTCCAAGCATTTTCCTAAACTTCATAAATCTTCCAATATTCATGGTGATAAGAGCATAAGTTAGTTGTAATTGTATAATCACTACAGGAAAAAATTATTTTAGGGATCGAAAAATTTGGTTGCAAATGTCAAAACATTGGGCGTTAATCAATTAGGCGTTAATCAATTAGTGACCGAAATGCGTCGTCGCAAAAGGTCAAATCATTAATGTGTTAGCGATCGATTTTCATTTCGGTTGCAAAATAACAACTGATTTTAATTTCGGTCGCAAAATAGCGACCAAAATTAATATATTAAATCGGTGACAAAGTTAAAAAATAGCGACCGATTTATATTGATCGCTAAATCAATGACAAAGTTAATTATTTTTATTTATTTATATTTATATTTATATTTATTTATTTACAACCCCTCTATTTATCTAAAGACTCCCCTACCTCCTTTATATTATATTGGTACCTTAGAGTTGGAGGCTGAAACTCCAACCACTAAGCTACTAGCATTTTTCAATAATAACTTACAAATAAATTATATTTATATATTTATATATTTATATATTTATATATTTATATATTTATATATTTATATATTTATATATTTATATATTTATATATTTATATATTTATATATTTATATATTTATATCTTTATATATTTATATCTTTATATATTTATATCTTTATATATTTATATCTTTATATATTTATTTATATCTTTGTATATTTATTTATATCTTTATACATTTATATCTTTATACATTTATATCTTTATATATTTAAGAAAAAATTTAAAATATAAATATGAAATATTAAAAATAATATTATATTTTTAGAAACAAATATTAGAAAAAGGTGTAAAACCTTGTATAAATTATATTTACATGTCCAAAATATTAAAGATATCCACATTTAAAAAAATACTAAAAAATATTAAAAAATTATACTTTAAATTGATGAAAATATTTTTTAAAAAAGTTATATTTATTAAAGTATTAAAAAATATTTTGTAATATATAAGTTAAAAAAATTATCATTAAAATTTTTAAAAATTATTAGTTTTGTAATTTATACACAATGAAAATAAATTACAAATATTATAATAAAAAATTATTGTATTCTAATTTTTAATTAAACTAAAATTACAGTAATAATGTATAATAATATATGAGGGGATAATAAATTTAATCCAATTACTTATATATATATATATATATATATATATATATATATCCTTTTTTAACTTTTTTTTTAACTTCTCACATTCTACATTTTTTTTAACTCTATCATTTTTACTATATTATCATCCTCATCTCCTCCCATATTCTATTTTATCTTTATAATAATTAGTCTTATTTTCTAGAATACTTTATTTTCTATTTTTATTATATATTTTCTTATAATTTAAAATAATTAATATTATTTTAACATTTATTTTTATGATTACTATAATAAATCAAATTAAATGGTTCGATAATATCAATTAATTAAAATCATCACATCAAAAGCTTAGATAACTACATTAAAATTATTAATTTTAAAAATATAAAATATATTTAAAAAAACTCAAATTATAGATTGGAAATAAAATAGAATAAACAAATACTCTTTACTTTATATTATATTTAAGTGTGTGCACAAATGTTGACCTTCTTAACTATAAAGAAACCGTAGAAAAATATAAAGATAGAATTTGAAGAAGTGAATTTTGAAGATAAAGACTATTTTTATATAAATTTATTCTAGTATATCAATTAACAATAATAATACATAAAATTTAAAAACTAAACTAAAAAAAGTAAGTTTAAATTTATAAAAAAATACATTACTAAAAATATCATATTATATTAAGATTTTCATTATTTTCGTTAATTATAAATTTAAATGTGTTTCATAAATAAAATTATAAATTTAAATGTATTTCCACTTTTGATCCATCATAAATAAAAATAAATAGTCTCTTACAAATGTTGTTCTATTTTAATCCATCATTAAATTTGTTTTATATACGAATTTGATGACTTATCATATTATTAAAAATTTGGATGAAATAATTATGTATAATACTTTTTTAGTATATTATGTTTTTAAATTTGCTAATAGAAAAAAAGTTTCAGAATTCAAAATGTTAAATACTTTTAAATATTAAAATTGACTTTATAAAAAATTAGGAAAAAAAATTAATCCAAAAATATAATAATGATAAAAATATTATAAAAAAGAGTTCAAAAATGTATTATAATACTTTCAGTTTTAGTTTAATTATATTTTTAATTCTCAAAGTAGAAAAATATATTGTAATTATTTTAATTTAATAAAATATAATTTAAATTTTTAATACTAAAATTACAAGATTAAATAATAATAAATATAATTCTTTAAATTTAGTATTTAGAAACTAAAATTATAGTTTCTCTGTTTTAAAAAATTAAAATAAATATTTAAAAATAAAAATAAAAACTAGTATTATCTTAAATTTATTAAAAGTATAATTAAATCTCTATTTTCTTATGCAATTTTAGAAATATTTTAATGAAAATCCAATATATAAAAAAGTTGAAATTTTAAATGAAAGCAATGAGGGGGAGATTGATGGAAATGTCCCTACATTCCCAAAAGATAATTTTGATGATGATTCAAGTCAATTACATTCAAGTCAACATCATTCAAGATGAATTAAGGACAAACTGAATTTATGACGTTGGTGACAATGTGCAACATTTCCCTATATGCCCAAGATATGTTTTTGATAAAGATGATGATTCAAGCAAGCCCAAGATGATTCTTGAAGACTAGATAGAGTCTTAGAATACTGGATATGAAGGTACAAGTTGATGAAATAATATTATGCATAAGCCTCCAAAGAACAAGTGTGATAAAATTCATAACATGATATTTTTCTCTTGTCACCGCCGTTAAAAGAGGCGGTCGGAGCGACGCGATGGTTCCGACTTTCAGGTTTTCACGTTTTTGTGGGTGAGGTTACAACGCCTCTAGGTTGTCCGATAACCGGGCTGAACCTAGGGGCGAGGTTTTCGAAA